AGTGTACATTACCTTGATAGTCCCTCTCATTTTATTGTTTTCTATGATAGTTTCGATCAGCTGTCTGTCCGTGTGAATCTTCTTTTTCCATTGTTTCGCTGTGTATTTGTCCGTTTCTATTTCCTCAGTGATTTCCTCGTAATCCGTCTCAAAGATCTCGAATTTTCTACCCTCTCCTGCGTGTTTCTTTAACCATTTTATCCTCGACCAGGCATTTCCCAGACAACTTCTGTTCGATGTGGGTCTGATGTAGCGTTCATAGTTTTCGTTTGCCTTCAGTTGATCTATTCTCAATCTCATCTCTTCATTTCCATATATCATTGTTTTTAAAAGAAAATTCCTCGCTAGCATTTCTGTTCTATCCTGTAACAGCATAACTTTTGATTCCGCTATAATTACATTATTCGGTGTGCTATTTCTGTAACCTAATGCTGTCCTGAGACCTGCGTATTGAGTCCTTTCTCAGTCTTTGGTTGGCTTCTCTAGGGAAGTAAATAAATAAACCATAGTCCACTACTGACCTTACTATGCTCTTATATAACAGCAGTGCCGTATTGACTTCCATACCTCTTCTTTTTTATTTAGATATTTCATGAGACCGTTAGCCTTTCTAACCTTACCTCTGACCAGTTCAACCTGATGATGGAAGTTAACCTTGTTATCAAACCATAGTCCTAGAAATCTTGCCCCTACGTTGTTATGTATGTCCATCTCTCCCAACTTTATCTTCACTTTTTTATCTCGTACTCCCCGCTTGTTGAATTCCACCAGAACCGTTTTCCTTGGCTCTAGTTCCCAACTTCTCCAGTCTGTTGGCCAGATGGTTGGCCGCCTCTTGGATTGCGAGAGTGTTTGCTTCTCTGTTTGTGCTTGTGGTGTACATAGCAATGTCATCTGCAAATTGAATTGTTCGTATTCCCCTTCCTAACTCTTCAGTAATATTCCTCGTATATATTGAGTACAGCAGTGGGCTCAGCACTGCCCCCTGCGGCAGACCTTTATAGACCCTTCTATCCACCGTTTCTTCTCCAGATACGATAACTGGGTGTACCTGACCCTGCTCCATGCATACACAAATCTTACTATGTCGCTGGGGCACCTTATCTCTTCCAACTTCTCGATGAGAATGTTTAAATCTACGTTATCATAGGCCGCGGTTACATCCACAAATAGCGCTGTAGTGTATTCCCCTCTAGAGAATCCATTTCTGATGTCAGTGGTGATTTGCGTCAAGTTATCTGCACAGGACCTCCCTCTTCTGAATCCATTTTTGATCCCTGTTTATTAAATTATTCTTTTCTGCCCACCATACCAGTCTTTCATTTACCATTCTCTCCATTACTTTACCTATACAAGACGCAAGCGCTATCGGTCTGACCTTCTCCTGCCTGGTTGTCGATGAAATCACCTGATATTCCTGCCAGCTTTTGGTAGCTGATTCCTCTTCCATATATCGTTGAGTACCACTAACATTTCATGTTGCATTCTATGTGGCAACCGCTTGATCATGTCATATTCAATACCGTCCCTTCCAGGTGCTGTATTCTTTCTTATCATTCTTAATGCTCTTTTCCATTCCGCTGCTGTAAAATTGTCCTTCCAACTTAATCCCTCCTCTCGTTCTTTTCTAATTTCCATCGGCGGATTTTCCGCGGACGGGGAGGCTAGTTTTTCTATCATTTCTTTTATACTTTCTTCTCTGTTCCTGCTCTTCCACTTGTTCCATTCTATCTTCGCTTTGCAATTCCTAAATATCCTCATCGTATTCTATACATAGTTCATATTTATGTTCTTGTTAATAGATGTGCAGAATGATTCAAAGTTCTGTGTCTTTTTTAATTTGATCACTTTTCTCGCTATGGCTCTGCACCTCTTGTATTCTATATATGCATGCATCGTTTCTTTTCTAACAAATTTCTTTTGTGCCTTTTTCCTATTTCTAATCACTTCTTCGCATTCCTCATCCCACCATTTAACTGGGTTTACTCTTTTATTATTTATCTTATTCTTTTTATTCTCTTTCTTGTTATCTCTTCTCCTCGGGGTAATCTCTTCTATGGCCATTTTCATGCTTTCACATAGCAGGTTATATTTTATCCGCATGTCTTTGTCTCCTAAATCCAAATTTAATGCTTTTCTTGTTTTTTCCCAGATTTCAGTAACCTTTCCACTATACTCATCCCATTTTGTCTTATTGGATGAGATTCTATTCGTCTTTTTAATGTAGTTAGCAATCTCATAGTCCATTTCCATTATAATTGGGTAGTGATCTGAGCCCCAGGAGTCCTGTAACTGATATGTCCTTATATTATCTAGATCCTCGATTGGTCCCAGTATTAAATCTAAATTGTTAGACGTTTGGTCTACCATACCCATTCTGGATTTTGTATCCTCATTATAACATACCAAATTCTTCTCATCCATTATCTCACACATGTTTTCACCATTTCCATCAGTATCTCCACAGTTCCAAATAGTATTATGTGCATTGAAGTCCCCAACATAGTATGTTTTGTATTTATTTTCATTGTTTGTGAGTATCTTTCGCCATGTAGTTTTACTCAACCTAATACCTGGTCTCCTGTAAACCGCGACTATGTTGACTTTTTCTGAAAAATTCTTTATCGTGATGCCCAACCTTTTAACTGATTCACATGCGTATCCTTCTGGCACTTTAAAATATCGAATTCTAGTCTATTGTGTATCACCACAGCTATTCCTCCTTTACTGTCTAAATTATCTGTTCTATATGTTTTGTAGCCTGTAAAATAAATTGGGACGTTCTTTGGTTGTTTAATTTCCGTTATAACCGCTATATCATAGTTTCCTATTCTCCTGGCCAATTCTTCTTTTTTATTTCTGATCCCTCTACAATTCCATATTAATATTGTGACTGGGGCCATTGTGTATGAGTATAATAATAATAAAATAGCAACTTAATTATTTTAAAAAAGAAAAATTGCTCTAAATAAAAATTTCCATAGTGGCCTTTCTTGTAAAGCAACAGTAGTAAAATATAAAACAAAAACAAATAAAATACATTTAAAATGTAACTGAAATAAAATAATCTAAAAGAATAAAAGTTTAAAAAGAAATAAAAAATATCAATCTTGTAGGTTATCTATGATTCTAATTGTACTATAAGGCGTAACAATTATGAACTACCTTATTACTAATCTTATTATCTAATAATCTTTTTAAATTCTGTAAACGATTCTTAGTTTAATTTAATTTAGTTTAACTCTTAGTTTCTAACTTATTGCTATGGTACGTCTTTTGAGCTATTCATTGTCCTTCCCGAATTCCTGTCTTATTCTTTCTACTATCCTGTTTTCTCTGTATTTTCTTTCTTCTCTATATATCCTGTTTCTGTCTCGTATAATGTCCTTCCGGTGTTGTTCCTTATCTTGCTCTCTGATCGTCTGGTCTCCTTCCCATCTCTTGTCTCGTTTAAGCTCGTCTAATGCTTGTTCCAACAGGGATTTCAAATCCCAGTCCTTATCCGCTGCCACCAACAGTCTGGCTATGAAGTCCTTTCTTTTTTCATTTTCTGTGATCAATGTCTTCCCTATTGAGTAGCCCTCCTGTTCGTTGCTAGGGAAGTTTGTCAAATTTCCTTCCTTTTCATGTGTTAATGCTATTCCTCTCTTTTCCTTCGTAATTTCTCCCTCTCTCGTATCAAACTGTGCATAATAATTGGTCCTCACAACAGGTGCCTTTGTCCTTTTTCTCCCGTCATCCCTCTTCTTTTTCCGTCCTAGGAATCCGGAATTGTTAGGTGAGTAATATGATAGGTCATCACTGCTTGTGTCGTCTACACCCCCCGTTTCCCCTTCCTTTCCTTTTCCTTTTCTGTTGTTTTCCTTACCTATCACTTTATCCCTATACAGAGGTTTTTGTCTCTGATTTGCCCTCTGTCCTGGTCTATTAAGGAGTGGCCAATTATTTGGTTTTTCATACCTGTCATATACCTCTGTTAGACCTTCCTCACTACCTTCCAGGATTTCGATAGCTTCCTTATACGAGGCATTATTATATGCCATCACTTTTTTGATCCTTTGGTTTCTTTCATAAACGTCACATTTCCTGTCCGTAGATTTATGCCTCTCTCCACAGTTGCGACATTTTGTTGGTTTGTCGCAATGACTGTGTGCTTTTTCACCGCAATTGATACAACATTCTTCGCTCTTGCAATGTATTTTTCTATGACCGTATCTGAAGCACTTATAACATTGCATTACTGGAGCTACATATGGTCTTACTCTTAGTACAGCTAAGTCGTTGAAGAAACTTATCTTATCCCTGGGTTGATTCCCCTTAAAAGTAATTATCACCGAATCAACCGGTTCGAATTCTATCTTGTTCTCCTCCTTGTTCCATCTTCTTCTCATCATTCTTTCTATTCTCACGACATCCTCTGGTTTTGTGAGTAATTCATAGAAGTCCATAATTGAGTCCAGGTATAATGCTACACCTTTGAAGCACGTGTCCCGGTCTTCTATTCCCGCTCTATCCGTCCTTTTCTTTGTCTTCGTTAATCTTCTTGATAGCGCTATTCGCGTCTATTGGATTTAGAAAAAACAATGTAGCCATCTTAAATCCATTCATCATTATACGTTTGGGGTATATTCTTTTATCTTTTAGCATATGCATAATCTTAAAATAATTGCTACCTTTTTTGACTGTACCTGCTCTTTCCATTATCCTAAGTGTCACTTTGTAGTTACTTCCGAAATTTTCTTCGAATTCCAATCTCCTACTAACCTTAGACACATCAATCTCACTAATGTGCTTAAGCACACCATTCTCCTTTACGTATACTTCCCTCTTCCTTTGCTCGTTACTCATTGTCACGTTGTTCATATTGTTTGTCTGTTGCATTTCGCTACTACTTACTGACTGCGAGCCTTTGTTACAGCCCGCCGTTGGTAACATGTCTCCTTCCCCCTCCGTTTCCATTTCCTCTTCCGATTGGTCCTCTCCTATATCACGTGTCTTCGAGCCATTCGGGTTGCTAGTTTCTCCCGCGCTCTTCTCAGTCTGTAACAATTGCTTTCTTGCCTTCTTCTTTTTTCTATCTACGGTTTTCCATTCCTCATTCTCGTTCTCAATGTTCGTCGTATCTATCATCAATTGGTCCAAAGTGTCCTCCGTCGCTGGCCTTTTTCCTTTGTTACTTTCTTCGTTCATTTCAACGTTTAATCTTGCTTCGAGTCTCCTTATTGTCCTCTTTAGCGTCTCATTCTCTCTCAGTGTTAAATTTATACTTTCCCTTCTCTCCTCACGCCGCCCCTCACCCGGGGGCTCCTCATAATCCCTTATTTCTTCTATATTGCCCTATTATTGTTCCCGTACCTTAATATATCCTACTACTACACTTCAATATATATCTATTAAGCTCTAAAAAGAGCTGATTTACCTATTCCGAGGGTTTCTAACACTAAAAAACCGCCAGACACCACTCGAACACGTCCGCACTTCTCGAACCGCCCTCTATTCCTTTTCAATTTTTTCCATTTTTACAAAAACACTGACATCGACTGACACAAACGACTGTCAAACAATAACTGAGCGTCCAAAATGGCTGAAATTTTCACAAAAATCTTTCATATACTATTGTACTAGAATGGTTTTGACGAGTAACGTCATCTTCATGTTAAGGCTCAAAATTTTTCAAACTACCCTCGTATATGGCTGTCTAGCCATATACCTTTATGCATGCCCTACATGATATACTATTATATACTATTTTTAAACCGTTTTCATCCTATGGCCTGCGAGATATTCTCCAGTACATACTAGGGATTAGATTAGTGAGCGGTAGTAATATTCTAAGTATATTCCACAGTATATCGCAGTACGTATTTCGAATGTTCGAAGAATATCTCGAATATACTTGTGTGATATCCTGTGGAACATTCTCAGAATAGACGAGTACTATTAGAGACAGTACTATTAGAGACAATAGTTCAATATTACAATGATGTAATATACAATGATATTTATCTGTCATTATGATACGAGTTTGGGTTATATCTTTTAGTAGTGGAGCCTCCTTGTAGGAAAAAAGAGCGGACATACTGTCTCCACGAATACACTTTTCAACGTGAAGCAAGGTTTCATATGGATTTACAATTTCTTTATACATACCCTAGCAGTATACGTACATTCTAAGTATGTTCTGAGAAGATCGCAGTGCGTATATTGCGATCATCTCAGAATTTTTCATACATACTGCGATTGACTAAGTATGTTCTAAGTACATTTCTATGTCCGAGGTAACACCTTCCATGGAATTTCGCCGCGAATATTTGCAACGAATGATGACAGTATTAGAAAAAGATGAAAACGGGAAATTTTCAGTAAATTATGGTTGTGTTCTGATATTGATTGTTAGTACTAGAAAATCTATAATATACGTGACACCTTTTATGGAAAATAAGTGAAAAAAATGAAAAAAGATAAGAGAAAATGATGAAACATCTTTTATCTTGGTATCATCGCATGTTTCTAACGACCACCCATCCAATTTGGGAGCCTGGTTCGATATTGCTTCACTTCTATACTTGGATGAAACCTGCTACTGAAATGATAATATAAGTGAATACAGAATTTTGGCATAAAATATGATAGATCTGGTTAATGAATGTTACTATATTGTTGTATAAACAATTTCAATTTTAAAATCTCGATTGCATATGTAATTCTTGTGGATAATTTAATTACATAGATGCATAAACCTATTGTGTTCTAAGAATCATTAATAAGAATCATTTTTATTATGAAAATTGTATATAAATTGTTGAATATATTTTGTTTATTTGTTTATGAATTTGTCAATAATTGTATTAAATATGGGAAATATTTTTTATTTATATATTATCTATTTATATAGTTAATTAAGAAAGATAGTAATTAATAATGTTATTTCATCATTTATTCATTAAAAATTACGATTAAATGACGATATATTTATGATGATAATATTTCGCGACAAATATTACGTCTATAGAATATACGCGCGCAATAGAAAGGCATACGTATCATTACCTCTGAGTATAATCTGAAAATATATGCATGCGATGAAAAAGCGTATGTACTGCTGCGTAAATCTTGAGAATATACGCGCGCGAAAGAAAACCAAATGATACTGTCAGTGATGTTCTAGCGTGGATCTCAGTACAGATAATCACAAACAGTACGAAAATGAGATGATTCGCAGTAGTGGGATGTCGCGTGCTGTTAGGGATATTAGCAAATTATACCTTCAGTACTCATATAAGTTATTATATTTTTTAATACTTTTTTTGTTAATAATTTTTTAATAAAGAGCGAGCGACGGCTAAAACCTTTTGAATGTTATTCAGGATGATGATCTTGATAACATACATCAAAGTCAAAGTCATCGAGGCAGACTCCCCTCATCGGTATATTTATCCTTATATTTCGAAGTTTTGTTAATAACTTTAATAAATAACGAGCGACGACTAAAATCTCTTAAGAATTATTCAGGATTTTGACCTTGATAACATATGTCAAGGTCAAAATCATAACACTGGTCTTCATTATTGTAAAGTTTTATTTAACATTTTTACTATTTCACTATAAAAAATAGTTTTCCTATGCTAGTTGTCAAAAATCCTTTCAGGAGCTTTCATTTTGATTCAAAGGTAACTTTCCACAAAATTTCATCGAAATCGGAGGTATGTCGTTTTCGGAACTCCATCCTATATTTGTTTTATATATTCAACTCTGACAATTTTACACAACCTAAATAAATATGACATTCTCCGTTTCTGACAATTCTCAACAATTTTCCAAATAACAGAAACACTCGTGAAATCGAGCACAAACAAATCATATTTTACTCTTCGACGATGATGAATATATTTAACTAGCACAAGATTTATTTACAACTCGCTTCACCCAAGTAGGAAACTCTTCCTTATATAAGATACGCTCAGCGAAAAGCTATTGCTCATTGGATCGTAGACCATCCAGCTACAAGTAAGTATCAATCGTACTATAAAATTTATAAACATTTTTAATATCCCAAGATAGCGTAAAGGGAATATTGTCTTCAACAAAATAAAATATAATAAGAAAAAAAATAATAATAATTCAAATCATTGTTTTCAAAAACCCTTATCATGTGTCTAAATAAAATATTTTATATTAATATGTTTAATTTTACAAATTTTTTTTCTTTTAAATATTATAGCATTTTTCCACAATTTTATATTTTTGTATTATTTTAATTACTTTAATATCTTATTTTATTTTACCCCAAATAATCCAATAATTTTTTTTCGACATAAAATAATTAATCAGATATTTTTTTACTACACTTCCAGAATACATTCGACATGCGTGGAAACTTGCTGTGTCTTCTATTGTTATTTGTCGTTCTGAAGAAAGCCTCCGTAAAATCTTGTAAATACTGGTGCAGAATGAACGATCATCGCTATTACTGTTGTCCGAGCGGAAAAAGCGACTCCTCGTCGCGATACGACTGGCATTCGTTCTTTTTTCCTTGGTTGTGGCTTGGCATTACCACCGAGCCACGTGTCGAACGACCTTGGTACGAACTCATGATAAAATGGAAACCGAAAAAGCATTGTCCACCCTTGAGGGCTTATTGTCCTAGAATTTATGAATGGTACAAACCACCTGACCCTTGCAACGATGATCACGAATGCGAGGAATGGCAAAAGTGTTGTTATGATGTATGCCTGGAACATAAGACGTGTAAGAATGCGGAATAAATGTCCCTTTGTGATTTCTAGATGAAGCTTTGAGATAATACTCTTTTACCGTATTCAAACAATTTTACTTTTATTTCAATATTATTTTTATTATTTATATTAACGCACTGATGACGACATGTTCTTATACCTTCGTCAAACTCTCGTATAATCAAGAGTGATATAAAATATTGTCCAAACTGACCTGTTGTTATATATTTATTTATTGTACATTTGCTGACATCTAAATAAAATGTTACAGCAACATAATTATTTATTTTTTTACAAAAAAAAAGGGTATCAATTATGGTAAGATCCTATTTAAACATAAGTGTTATATCACAATCTTATTAAATTCAAATAGTATATCTAAAACTCAACCATAATATATATTTCATTTATATAAAAGATTTGATATAAAAAATGTTATAGTTATAGTTTTATTTCTTAATAGCACTCGTCTATTCTGAGAATGTTTCACGGAATATCATACAAGTATATTCGAAATATTCTCCGAACAATCGAAATACGTACTACGATATACTATGGAATGTACTTAGATTGTTATTCTAACAGCACGCGACATACTGCGAATCATTTTCGTACTGCTTATATTTGTGATTATCTGTAACGTACTGAGATCCACGCTAGAACATCACTGACAGTATTATTCGGTTTTCTTTCGCGCGCATATATTCTCAGGCTCTTCACGCAGCGCTACATACACTTTTTCATCACACGCGTATTCTCAGGTTATACTTAGAGGTACGGAAATGATACGCCTTTCTATCGTCCTAATAGCACTCTACTCTGTTCTATGGGATATTATACAAGTATATTCGAGATATTCTCCGAATATTTAAAATACGTACTGCGATATACTATGAAATGTTCTTAGATTGTTACTACCGCTCACTAACCTAATTCCTAGTATGTAGACTATTCCGCATAGGATAAAAATGATTTAAAAACAATATATCATGTAAGATATACATAAGGGTTATCAGCCATATATCGGGAAAATCTATAATATATGAAAAAAAATGAGAGAAAGTAATAACACATTTTTTATCTTGTATCATTGCATGTTTTTAAAACGGTCCCATCCTATTTGCACATCCTAATAACACATGATATTCGAATATTCTACACTCGTACTAAAAGTATTGTGATCATACATATTGTTGCCTAATATACCAGAGAACATTCATATGACATCTTGATGATATATCATTTCTCGTATATTCTTAAGCTCATCTTCAGAATATACCGAATATATCCTATCAGTACATGATCTCATACAAATATTCTGTATACTGAATATATTCTTTATACTGAATGTACTGTGATCATACCGAAGATACTAACATTATTCGTATAAAATCTGTGTAGAATATCATTTGTCGTATCCCAAGTAGCAAGATGACATCATTATGATGATGATTTAAGATTATTTTTCGTCATTCGACGTCAGTGTACTAAATAATAATGCAAAATAAATGTAACATTTGTCACGAAATATTATCGTTATAAATATATCGTCATTTAATCATCATTTTTAAAGAATAAATAATGAAATAACATTGTTAATTATAATCTCTTTTAATTAACTGTAATGTATAAATAAGAACAATATTTCCTATATTTAATATAATTATTGACAAATTCATAAACAAATAAACAAAATATATTCAATTTATAAACAATTTTCATAATAAAAATTATTCTTATTAAACATATAGGTTCAAGCATCTATATATGAAATTAAATTATTCACAAGAATTACATATGTAATCGAGATTTTAAAATTAAGACTATTTATATCACAATATCCCTAATAGCACTTTATTCTGAGAACGTTTCACGCGATATCATACAAGTATATTCGAGATATTCTCTGAATATTTGAAATACGTACTGCGATATACTGTGGAATGTACTTAGATCGTTACTATCGCTCACTAACCTAATCCCTAGTATGTACTGGAGAATATCTCGCAGTATGGCCATAGGATGAAAATGATTTAAAAAACAGTATATTATGTAGAGCATAAGGGTATCTCAGACAGCCATAGATCGTGAAAATCTATAATATACATGATATAATATACATCTCATATCTATAATATACATCTCTTATGGAAAATAAGTGAAAAAAAATGAAAAAAAAATTAGAGAAAGTAATGAAACATTTTTTATTTTGTACCAGTGCATGTTTTTAAAACGATCACCCATCCCCTACTTGGGACCCTGCTCGATCCTGCTTAACTTTTATAATGGGATGAAACCTGCAATTGAAATGATGATATAAGTAAGCACGGAATTTTGACACAAAATATGATAGATCCGGTTAATGAATGTTACTATATTGTCATATAAATAGTCTTAATTTTAAAATCTCGGTTACGCATGTAATTCTTGTTATATAATTTAATTACATATATAGATCCGTGAACCTATATTATATTTAATGAGAATTATTTTTATTATGAAATTGTTTATAAATTGTAGAATATATTTTGTTTATTTGTTTATAAATTTATATATAATTGTATTATATGGGAAATATTTTTCTTATTATATATTATAGTTAATTAAAAAAGATAGTAATTAATAATGTTACTACTTTATTATTTCTTTATTACTTATTACTTCATTAGTTATTCATTAAAAATAACTTAAAAATGACGATTAAATAACAATATATTTATGATAATATTTCGTGACAAATGTTACGTTTATTTTACATCGTTTTTTAGTATACAAAAAATGACCTTAAATCATCGTCATAATGACATCATCTTGCTACTTGGGATACATAGATTTTATACGAATAATCTTAATATATTCGATATGATCACAGTATTCAATATAAATACAGAATATCCGTATGATATCATGTGTCACTAGGATATATTCGGTATATTCTGAAGATGAGCTTAAGAAGAGACGAGAAATGATATACCATCAAGATGTCATATGAATGTTCTCTGATATATTAGGCAATAGTATGTATGACTACAGTACTTTCAGTATGAGTGTAGAATATTCGAATGATATCATGTGCTATTAGGGATAGTAACATTCATTAATCGGATCTATCATATTTTATGTCAAAATTCCGTGTTCACTTATATCATCATTTCACTTGCAGGTTTCATCCCATTATAGAAGTTAAGCAGCACTGAGCAAGATCCCAAGTAGGATGGATGACTGTTTTAAAAACATACAATGACAAGATAAAAAATATTTAATTACTTTCTCTCATTTTTTTTCATTCTTTTTCGTTATTTTCCGTAAGAGGTGTCACGTATATTACAGATTTTCACGATCTATTTGGCTGTCTGGAATTTGACATCCTTGTGCGTGCCCTACATAATATACTGTTTTTAAATCATTTTCATCCTATGCCATACTCCAGGATATTCTCCAGACATACTAGGGATTAGGTTAGTGAGCGGTAGTAACTTTTTATAAAAAGTAAAAAAAGTCGCCAAGTGTACGTGCATTGTGTTTGTGAAAACTCAAGCACATAACTTTGCATCAAAGATCCAAATATTATCTTACAAAATTACGTCATCTTACTGATCAAATAATATATAATACTCACCTGTAATAATATGTATTATTTGTATAAAAGATTTGATATTAAAAAGTGGCGCCAAGTTATAGTTATGTTATATAAAAGTGTTACTTTTTAATGGAAAAAAAGTTTTTCAATTACTGATCCAAATTATATCTTCTTAAAAAAATAAAAATAAAATTCCAGATTCATATTTTTCCACCCGAGAACTTTTTATTTTATTTAAATTTATATGTACAAAATCATCTATATTTTCATATTATGCTGCTTATTATATATTTTTATTTAAACTTTTTTGTAAAAATAATATATAAATATCCATTCGCTCGCTCTCGTATCGCTCTTTCACCATCTCACTCACTCTTTCGCTATCTCGCACGCTCTCGTATCGCTCTTTCACCATCTCACTCGCTCTTTCGCTGTCTCGCTCGCTCTCGTACGCGTACATCACTCCGAAAGATTGACTGCTAGCGCCTTATAGTAGCGAAAATTGCAATCGTAGCCCATACGAACGGCGACGATGATAATAATAATGACGACATTTCTTAAAAGTAAATTTCTATAGAATCGGACTTTGAATTGTAATATCTCCGCTCACAGGACGCGTAGAAAAAAATTAAAAACACTTTTATTATATAATTTAAACCCAAGCTATCGATTGCATTTATTCAGAACTTGATCGATTCAGCTTATTGAGATCCGATAATCTTGATACTCAGCAACTCGCAGGCTCGCGTAAAGAGACATGACCGGTTTCGCGCTCGTGAAGCGCTGACGCTTACACTTGACGATGAGCCACGACCGTATCTCTCGATCTAAGTATATTCCAGTATATCGCAGTACGTATTTCGAATGTTTGAAGAATATCTCGAATATACTTGTATGATATCCCGTGGAACGTTCTCAGAATAGACGAGTGTTATTAGAGTAAAGAGGTAATAGTACAAAATGAAAAAAATTTAATTTAAATAAAAAAATTTTTATGTAAAAAAACTCTTAGATCTTAATTGAAATAAAAACAAAGTAAATTTTTATTTAAAAAAGCATGCTCAATTCAAAATTCTGGATAAAAAATGCAATTTTTCAATCTAATATAATTCAAATTCAATCCAATTTAATCCAATTAAATACAAAAAAAGTTTTCCGTATGTGTGTGTGAAAATATTATTATACATATAAACGGATACAAAGGCACTGGGCATTGAAATAGATTAATTTCAACATAACGAATGTGTACTTCTGAAAATTTCAATTTCCATTTTAATCTATTTTATCATTTATTTTACTGTGCATGCGTCAAACGCGTTATCTATCGGGAAGACTCATGGGGTATGGCTACGTAGTTCCGTACACATGGAGGCGCTAATAGACGTGTTCTTGAAACGTAAATTTATTCGCTCTCTCGTCTTTTTTCTATATAGAAATTAGCAGTAGCAACAGTGGCAGGTGAAATCATCGCGAGAGAAGATGGTGGTGACGGTAGCTTCCGTACGTCAACAACTCAGTAATCTGGCGCATTCCGGCGGTTCCCACAAAGATCAGGCCGAAAAGTATGTGTTTCGAGTATAATTGAGTTTCGATCCAATTGTGTATATGCGAATCGTTCTCTGTTTAGATACCGTTCGACTCTGGACATGATATTGTTATCTTCCGGCGAGGAACTAGTCGATGCCCTGAAGACGTTCATCGAAGCAAGTACGTTATTTTTTATCCTGTTGACACGGATATCTTTCGAATTCGTAGATGTAACGAGCGTCCAAAAGGGACTTCCCGTTCTTCGGAAAAACTTGCGCGCGATTCGTGCAATTTAATATGCTGCGAATAGGTTACAAGAGAATTGCAATTCTCTAAATGCGTCAGAAATAGAACACTAAATATATTGCAAAATATATTTATAATCGAGACGCAACATTGTTCGTCTCTATATATCTTTGAGATAAACGTAACATAAATGATGTTAAAATGGTTACATGATAACGATGTAGTCAACAATGCGAGATCAATTTTAATTAAATCTTTTTTTTCTAGGTTACATTTTGAAACGTCTTTTTCGAAGAAAATTTTACTTCAAATATACAATACACGTAACATATATTGAGTAAAATTTTCATCGATAGAAAATTTTCATCTTCGAATCATAACCCTAATTTTAATACTAGAAAGTAGAAAGAGAAAAAAAAAATCGAAATTAAAAGATTTTTACAATGAGATATGAATGTAAAAGTCTTTTGATACAGTAAAAACAGACAATAAAGTTATTGATTATAATCTAGTCTTTATATAATAAATAATTTTATTAATACACGTATTGCATTTTAAAAAATAATATTTCTAGATAAATTTTTATTATAGTTGTGAATGAAAATGTGAGTCTGGTAATCTCGAGACAAGTATTGACTGATGTGAGCAGCCGTTTACTGTTTTTACCCGATGAAATATCAAAGGCTGTTTCACATTATACTCTAGACAAGGTAAACTTTTTATTCGGTCGCTAAGCAAAAATAAATATAATTCAGCTAGCATATTTTAATTAAAATAATATAGATATTTATATATACATATAATAATATAGATATTTATATATACAATATTCGTTCAGGTTCAACCACGTGTAATCTCCTTTGAAGAACAGGTCGCTAGTATAAGACAACATTTAGCTGATATTTATGAACGTAATCATAACTGGCGAGAAGCTGCAAATGTTTTAGTTGGCATACCACTAGAAACAGGACAAAAGTAACATTATATCTATATATACACACACGATGCACACATGTACACACACGCGCGCGCGCGCGCGCACATACATACACACCATTAAATCTTACCTTTGTTTATATACATTATATTAATGCAATTCATTATTTTAGGCAGTACACTATTGACTACAAGCTTGAAACTTATCTTAAAATTGCTAGATTATACTTGGAAGACGATGATCCAGTACAGGCTGAGGCATTTATCAATCGAGCATCACTTTTACAGGTAATATCTCTCTCTCTCTCTCTCTATATATATATATATATATATATATCTTTCTTCCCTTCTCCTCTTACATAAATTGACTTATGTTTCAGTTATTTAATTTTATTTTTTTCATTATTTCACAGGCCGAATCTAAAAACGAACAATTACAAATCTATTACAAAGTATGTTATGCAAGAGTATTAGATTATAGAAGAAAGTTTATAGAGGCAGCTCAAAGGTACAATGAGTTATCATATAGATCCATTATTCACGAAGACGAACGCATGACTGCTCTTAGAAATGCATTAATTTGCACAGTATTGGCTTCTGCAGGCAAGTGATTGATCTCAAGATTGCACACATTCCTTTTGAACTATTGTTTACATTATCTTCTCATTATTACGTTAGGACAACAAAGAAGTCGAATGTTGGCCACGTTATTCAAAGACGAACGCTGCCAGCAACTCCCTGCTTATTCCATTCTTGAGAAGATGTATTTGGACCGTATTATTCGGCGTTCCGAATTGCAGGAGTTTGAAGCATTATTGCAACCTCATCAGAAAGCATGCACTATCGATGGCTTAGGCTCCACTATACTCGACCGTGCCGTAATCGAGCATAATTTATTATCCGCTAGTAAATTATACAACAATATATCGTTTGAAGAATTAGGCGCATTGTTGGATATTCCACCTACTAAAGCGGAGAAGATTGCTAGCCAAATGATTACTGAGGGCAGAATGAATGGATATATAGATCAAATCGATTCCATAGTACATTTTGAAAGTAAGTTTCCTCAAATCCTTGAATATTAATATCACTCATTTGTTACAATACGATACAATTGGGCTTTCAAATTTCTTCATTCAAAAGAGAATTTTGTATCAATATTATAAAAATCAAAGAGTTGTTTTTAAGAGCTCGAACAATGGGAAGAATAAGAAGTAAAGAATTAAATAAATGAAATTAGGAATATAAAATTAAATTTCGACATACGAGAGATAATGCTTTGATATATACTCAAAGAATACACCCAAGACATTTTTATTAATCGAAAGTAATTTTCCGTTCCTCATTCTTCATATTTATTAATTTCTTATTTCTTATTCCCACTTATGAGATTTTATCTCTAAAGATGCCTTTTCATCTGACGCTCGATGCTCATTTTTAGCATCAAACTAGATCACATGATCAAAAATTATCATTCAGATTTCATATTTTGTATTAATTTTGATCACATGATCTAGTTTGACGCTAAAGGGTGCTTTCCATTTAGTGACACAAGTATCGTTTTATCTTTCTTGGCTTTCAATGATTAACAAGGACAAAATGATACTTGTGTCGACTTGTGTCACTAAATGGAAAGTACCCAAAAATGAGCGTCGAGCGTCAGCATGAAAAGGCACCTTTAAAATTTATTTTTATAGTAGAGGAGAATTCGATATATTGAATGAAAATTATGATTTTATATGAATTTATGAAATTATATGATTTGATTTTTATTCTTCTATAATCAGATATATTATAAATAATATTATAAAAATATATATAAATATATAAAAATATAAAATTTTAATAACCCAAATATTCTAACATTTTTTGGAAAATTACTAAACGAATTTTATCGTTGTTGTGAGGAATGAATGTTATTGCTCTTTCACATGTAATTAAGAAATGACATATCGTTTCATCTTACAGCACGTGAAACTTTACCAACCTGGGATAAGCAAATACAATCGTTATGTTACCAGGTAAATCAAATAATCGAGAAGATAGCTCAAACAGAACCGGAATGGATAGCAAAAGCAATGGAAGATCAGATGGTGCATTAATAGATTTTATTTAACATGGAAAAATGTCACTAAGAAATACGGGAATCATTTGAGAAATGTACACGATAACACAATCAGCCAAAATAATAAATATTTATATTATAGCTCATTGTCGAGATACAAATGTCATTCAATGCACGTAATTCATTACTTTCTACATAAAATCAATCATTCAAGTTCTAGAAATGTATTCACATTGTTTCTAAAATTGACAGTAGCCAGTATTGTACATTTAAAATACACTGTACATTCGCGTGTATATTCTTAAATGTTCTGTAATTTCGTAATGCTTATTAAAAAGTTTAACTGAAAATTGATATCATTTTGCATATGCAAGTGAATTAAAAAATTTGCTTTAAAAAAAGAAAAAAAAAGAAGAAGAAAAGGTAAAAGGATTATTTGCAGTCAATTTAGATAAACATAGACGAGGAAAAAAACAATGTAAGTTCTTCTTGTAAATAAATCACATTCGTACTTTATGTATATTTTGTATTGAATCCATAAATATTCTGTAAGGATCGTTCAGGCTGAAAGTCGTTTTTATTTCACAAATAATCATTTTCTATATAAAGCGATGGAATCATACATGTATGCAATACTCATATCTTAAAAATATGACCATAATCATTTACATGTATTGGGCACAACAATTCTGTAAATATGGAAAATGTTTGAGGCAAACATGATTTAGCCAAACTGACAGTGTTTTTCAACTAAAAACGAAATGTAGAATTATTTGTTCTCTTAATAAGAGAATAATATAACTTCTAATATGTATATGTATGTATGTATGTATAATAATTCATATATGTATGCATAATTATTCATATAAATTAGAGAAAGCATCATATTTCTATATGTGACAATATCAACTGAAAAAGATGCACATACATTTACTATCAATCACATTATTAATCCTATTTGATCACATAAAAATATGCACATCATATATGCTAATCTGATCTTATCCAGCAAGAAACAAAATATGTGATTTGTAACATTATCTTTAATAATTGAAACACGTTTCTTGAAAATTTCTCATACTGTTTGAATACTGAATGAATTATATTATTCATGTATGAATACATGTATGAAACAATATAATTTTCATGATCAGATATATA